ATGTAATTGGACCCATTATCACCACACCAGAAATAAATATCTCTTTGATATCCCCAGAGTTAAACTTAATCTGTGTAAACACTCTATGCAAATAAAGGGACCCAGTCTATGGAACTCACTCCCTAGTGAACTGAAAAGTTGTCAAACTGTTTCCTTATTCAAAAACCAAACCAAAAAGTACCTAATTTCCTACCTTGTGCTGTAACTCTCACTGTACCTAGTGCTACACAATCCCCCAATATTTGCACCTAAGCCACGTAACATTATCATTGTAACCATTATTGATATTATCTTATATATTGTTATAATGAACGCATATTTTACTGTTTTATACCTATAAATTTTACTTTAATGTGCCTACTAATCTTTGTCAAATTTTCTTACAATGTACCTGTAAACATTTTTTTAATTTAGCTACAAAATACCTACTTACAATGATCTATTAGATTAAGGACCTTCCCGTAGTGACTTTACAAGAATGTTGAAACATCAATGTTATGTACTCTCATAAACCCAATATACCTTCTTATGTATATATAAATCAATCAATCAATAAGTAAATCAATGAGTGAATAAGAGTGGTGGTGAGAGTGGGGCGGCCCAGTTACTGTGTGGGGCGGCCGATGTGAGAGTTCTCCAGCTGAGTGTTGTGTAACTCCTGAGCCCTCTGGTGTGATGGCGCTGAGCTTATACCTGTTGTAGGGCATAGTGGTGCTCTCTCTCTCTCTGTCTCTCTCTCTCTCTCTCTGTCTCTGTCTCTGTCTCTCTCTCTCTCTGTCTCTCTCTCTCTCTGTCTGTCTCTCTCTCTCTCTGTCTCTCTCTCTCTCTGTCTCTCTCTCTCTCTCTCTCTCTCTGTCTCTCTCTCTCTCTCTCTCTCTCTCTCTCTCTCTCTCTCTCTCTCTCTCTCTCTCTCTCTCTCTCTGTCTCTCTCTCTCTCTCTCTCTCTCTCTCTCTCTCTCTCTGTCTCTCTCTCTCTCTCTCTCTCTCTCTCTCTCTCTCTCTCTCTCTCTCTCTCTCTCTCTCTCTCTCTCTCTCTCTCTCTCTCTCTCTCTCTCTCTCTCTCTCTCTCTCTCTCTCTCTCTCTCTCTCTCTGTCTCTCTCTCTCTCTCTCTCTCTCACACACACACTCACTCACTCTCACTGTGTTTTATTTAAATAAGATTAGGTGTATTTTTAGGACTTAAATAACGCGTCTGGTGAAACTGCAAGCAAGAGCTGTTATCCTACCTCAGCCTATCTGAAGCCTACTCCTAGAGGCCCACTTATATCATGAGCCTGTTACATGCATCAGTAAGAATAGACTTTATTCATTAACAACATTAAGTAACACTTATATAAGGAAGAGGATGAGCGTGTAGCTAACTGTGTGCCAGAGCCTTCATGTGATCACTTGACCTGATCTCCCGTGTGTCAACCTGTTGGGCCAACACGTTCAGATGTCAGTCAGACTAGGAGGGAATGATCGCTGATGGTGTGATGTTCTTGAGAAAGGCTGTCCCAGCATGAGACTGTTGAAGGCTGAGAGTCTAGTGCGACGGGTGCCAACTACTGAACCTGTCTACGGAGTTGGGCCAGGTGCGGAACTTTGAGAATATTGGCCTTGTACATAACAGTAAGACCACCAACGTCCCGACGGTGTTGCAGGCTCTGATGTTCAGACCGTTCCCACCAGAACGGTGGGAAGAGCTCTCACACACACACACACACACACACACACACACACACACACACACACACACACACACACACACACACACACACACACATTTACCAAGGTGAGCTAACAAGAGTATAATGCTGCATAAGGTATAGTGAGGGAAGGATGGAGGAGTATAACAGTGAGGGAAGGATGGAGGACCATAATAGTGAGGGAAGGATGGAGGAGTATAACAGTGAGGGAAGGATGGAGGAACATAACAGTGAGGGAAGGATGAAGGACCATAATAGTGAGGGAAGTGAGTGATGGTGAGCCAGGCCTGGAGACCTTGGTGGTCAGTGAGTCACAACACTCACACATTACTCATGTTCACTCCTCACCACAACACCTTACCCATATATGTTTACCCTATAACCAGTCCTGCCATCGTCCTCACACCACAACCAACTCATCTCTATCATTAGAACTTACTTATTAATGCAGAGCATCTTTGTTTACAATTATATCTCAATTATTATCGTGATAATTATTTGATGGTATCTTGTGAAGGCTGTGTTTACACATTGATGACTCAGTGATGAAGATCTAGGCACCCAAGGGGCGGCACGGGCATGAATAGCCCGTAAGTACAGTTTGATGATTACGGTGTATTGTTAAAGGTTTTCCACCTGTGTCAGCGCCTCACATTCCGGTGAGGGAGTAGGGACACAGGGGGGCGTTACTCCTCTGGGTCGCCTCACTCCGGCGCTCAGACAGGAAGCTGGCAGCTCTTGGGTCTCGGGGGTGTGTTAACTAGCCTAGAACCCAGTTCTTTGTGAACGTTTATAGTACACTTGTCTCAGGGGGTAAGTGTCAGCCAGGTGTATACACATGTGTAGTCCCACACCAGGTGTACCACACACCCTATTTGTACGGGTGTGTACTCACCTAATTGTGCTTGCGGGGGGTTGAGCTTTGGCTCTTTGGTCCCGCCTCTCAACTGTTAATCAACTGGTGTACAGGTTGCTTTGTGGTCCATCTGGTGTGTGGGTGGAACACGGGGCCATTATTTCCACCAATTGGCTTGTCTCAGCCGCACAAGTTTGTGGTATGTGGTGGTATGTGGTATGTGGTGTGTGGTGTGTGGTGGTGAGACTGGGAGATCTGTCATTTGACAGTGATTGCAACTGTCAAATGATGTGTATCACCACAGAGTCATCCGAGTGTTTAGGTCGGTGGTGGACAAGGCCATTTGATGCACAGGAATGTTACCGAAGCTACTGGGAGACTGTGCGGACACCAAGGACACCAAATCTGACTGCAAGTCATCCAGGGCAAGTTTGACGACTTCAAAAGGGGTGACACATCAATTTAATTTGACGCTGTTGTGGGATGGAGAACACCTCAGAAAGTGAAGTAGCTAAGATGAGGATAAACATCTTGTGAGGAGGTAGAAAGCCTCAGAGGCATCAATATGTCAATCCTTTCAGGCATCCTCATTAGGTCAGTAATATGTGCACAGTGAATCTCCTCCACACCATATACTACAAGGGGTAAGGGGGGGCCAGATTCACGAAGCCTGTACATCTTTTCTCAATCTTTGGCGGCTTTGTTTACAATTATTAAACAGTTAATGAGCTCCGAAGCACCAGGAGGCTGTTTATAACAATACCAACAGTTGATTGGCAAGTTTTCAAGCTTGTAAACTGTTTAATAAATGTAACCAAAGCCGTCAAAGATTGAGGAAAGATGTACACGTTCGTAAGTGCTTGCGTAGCTGCTTCGTGAATCTGGCTCCTGGCTCCCCATCTTCAGCTCCCTCAGTAATGTCTAAGTTCCCTCACACTACTTCGTATATGATGAGTGAAGTATGAGACCAATATTACTACCACAACAATGGTCATCCTCACGGGGGTCCAACAGGGGTCCCACAGGGGTCCAACAGGGGTCCCACAGGGGTCCCACAGGGGTCCCACAGGGGTCCCACAGGGGTCCCACAGGGGGTCCCACAGGGGTTCAACAGGGGTCCCACAGGGGTCACGCAGGGGTCCAACAGGGGTCCAACAGGAGTCCCACAGGGGTCCCACAGGGGTCCAACAGGGGTCCAACAGGGGTTCAACAGGGGTCCCACAGGGGTCCATTTTGGAGCCCAACCCTTTTCCTGATATACATCATTGACACAGATAAGAACATTACAAACCGCATCATCAAATTTGCCGACGACACAAAGATTTATGTTAAACTGGGAAGTGAAAATAATATTGAGACCTTACAAAGAGATCTACACGAACTCCATAAATGGTCAGATGACTGGCAAAGGCTTTTCAATATTGACAAATGGAAGACCCTGCATGTGGGGCGTAACAACCCACGTCACAACTACCAAATTAATAACAATACCTTACAACAGATTGGTGAAGATAACGGACCTTGGGGTCAAAGTTCAGCACTCAGTGAAAGTTGGCCAGCAGGGCGGGGCAGCCGTCAGAAAGCTGACCGAACACTTGGGATAATTAAGTGTACCTTTGACTTTAAGGAACACAAGGTGGTGATTCAGTTGTACAGGGCTCTGGTGATTAGTATCCTGAGGTGATTGTACGGGATTGTTTGGTGTGGTGGTGAAGGATTGTCCCTGAGGATTGTCTCCATGACTTGACACATGTGTCATGTGAAGCTGATCGGCCGATAGTTGTCTGCTTCCCCTTCCAATCACGGGGAAACTAGTCCTCGGTCCAGAGACCTTCTGACAAGCAGTTTCAGCAGTAGGCATAGTTCCTGTCCCTCTGCCAGTTCCTTTATGACTTTGGACTACATTTATGCCAGCCACACCTGTGGCTGTGAGTCTTTCAGTTTGTCAGTGTTGTGTCTGACTGTGTAACATGTTATGGGTTGTGGTCATTACAAGAGGACGCTACGTTGCAATGGTTGCAAGAGGATACAAGGTAGTGAGGAAGGAGAGGGAAGGCTGGGGCCCAGGAAGGGGAGCTCAACTCCAACATATACAATGGAGCATCGCAAAAATTATATTATGAAAGCAAACTTATCATCAGCAAGAGTACACACTGGGAACTGGGAAGTCAGCAATATCTGGGATGGATCTCCGCTACCAAGCGATACAAAGTCTAGACAGAAATACCAAATATACATTTAGTATTTCACGTCTTAAGTTTACACTGACACCTGCTGTAGGGAGGGTGGGGGGCTGGTGCTGAAACTCTAATACTTGGAGACTTTATTCTCAGGGGAAATAGTTGCATAGTTCCCGTATTTCACACTGGAAATACAGTGTGAGAGAGGTAATGCAGGGTGGTAATGAGAGAAGTAATGAGACATATTAACACTGTGTGTGTGTGTGTGTTTACAGGCGTCATGGTGATCGGGGTGAGGAAGCAGCACTGGTTCCTCCTGTCTCTCTCCCTCACTGGCGTTCTTCTCCTCCTGGTCTACAGCACCAAGCCTCTCACTACCAGGACCCCGCTCCCAGGTGTGGTATACCCTCTAGTTTACCTCCCCCTGGCCCCTCACTACCAGGACCCCACTCCCAGGTGTGGTATACCCTCTAGTTTACCTTCCCCTGGCCCCACACTACCAAGACCCCGCTCCCAGGTGTGGTATACCCTCTAGTTTACCTTCCCCTGGCCCCACACTACCAGGACCCCGCTCCCAGGTGTGTTATACCCTCTAGTTTACCTTCCCCAGGCCCCACACTACCAGGACCCTGCTCCCAGGTGTGTTATACCCTCTAGTTTACCTTCCCCAGGCCCGTCACTACCAGGACCCCGCTCCCAGGTGTGGTATACCCTCTAGTTTACCTTCCCCAGGCCCCACACTACCAGGACCCCGCTCCCAGGTGTGGTATACCCTCTAGTTTACCTTCCCCCAGGCCCCACACTACCAGGACCCCGCTCCCAGGTGTGGTATACCCTCTAGTTTACCTCCCCCAGGCCCCACACTACCAGGACCCCGCTCCCAGGTGTGGTATACCCTCTAGTTTACCTCCCCCTGGCCCCACACTACCAGGACCCCGCTCCCAGGTGTGGTATACCCTCTAGTTTACCTTCCCCAGGTCCCACACTACCAGGACCCCGCTCCCAGGTGTGGTATACCCTCTAGTTTACCTCCCCCAGGTCCCACACTACCAGGACCCCGCTCCCAGGTGTGGTATACCCTCTAGTTTACCTTCCCCCAGGCCCCACACTACCAGGACCCCGCTCCCAGGTGTGGTATACCCTCTAGTTTACCTCTCCCAGGCCCCACACTACCAGGACCCCGCTTCCAGGTGTGTTATACCCTCTAGTTTACCTCCCCCAGGCCCCACACTACCAGGACCCCGCTCCCAGGTGTGGTATACCCTCTAGTTTACCTTCCTCAGGCCCCACACTACCAGGACCCCGCTCCCAGGTGTGGTATACCCTCTAGTTTACCTTCCCCAGGCCCCACACTACCAGGACCCCGCTCCCAGGTGTGGTATACCCTCTAGTTTACCTTCCCCAGGCCCCACACTACCAGGGCCCCGCTCCCAGGTGTGGTATACCCTCTAGTTTACCTCCCCCTGGCCCCACACTACCAGGACCCCGCTCCCAGGTGTGGTATACCCTCTAGTTTACCTCCCCCAGGTCCCTCACTACCAAGACCCCGCTCCCAGGTGTGGTATACCCACTAGTTTACCTCCCCCAGGCCCCACACTACCAGGACCCCGCTCCCAGGTGTGTTATACCCTCTAGTTTACCTCCCCTCTGGCCCCACACTACCAGGACCCCGCTCCCAGGTGTGGTATACCCTCTAGTTTACCTCCCCCAGGCCCGTCACTACCAGGACCCCGCTCCCAGGTGTGTTATACCCTCTAGTTTACCTTCCCCTGGCCCCACACTACCAGGACCCCGCTCCCAGGTGTGGTATACCCTCTAGTTTACCTTCCCCAGGCCCGTCACTACCAGGACCCCGCTCCAGGTGTGTTATACCCTCTAGTTTACCTCCCCCAGGTCCCACACTACCAGGACCCCGCTCCCAGGTGTGGTATACCCTCTAGTTTACCTCCCCCAGGTCCCACACTACCAGGACCCCGCTCCCAGGTGTGGTATACCCTCTAGTTTACCTTCCCCAGGCCCCACACTACCAGGACCCCGCTCCCAGGTGTGGTATACCCTCTAGTTTACCTTCCCCAGGCCCCACACTACCAGGACCCCGCTCCCAGGTGTGGTATACCCTCTAGTTTACCTTCCCCAGGCACCACACTACCAGGACTCCGCTCCCAGGTGTGGTATACCCTCTAGTTTACCTCTCCCAGGCCCCACACTACCAGGACCCCGCTCCCAGGTGTGTTATACCCTCTAGTTTACCTCCCCCAGGCCCCACACTACCAGGACCCCGCTCCCAGGTGTGGTATACCCTCTAGTTTACCTCCCCAGGCCCCACACTACCAGGACCCCGCTCCCAGGTGTGGTATACCTTCTAGTTTACCTCCCCCAGGCCCCACACTACCAGGACCCCGCTCCCAGGTGTGGTATACCCTCTAGTTTACCTCCCCCAGGCCCCACACTACCAGGACCCCGCTCCCAGGTGTGGTATACCCCTAGTTTACCTCCCCCAGGCCCCACACTACCAGGACCCCGCTCCCAGGTGTGGTATACCCTCTAGTTTACCTCCCCCAGGCCCACACTACCAGGACCCCGCTCCCAGGTGTGGTATACCCCTAGTTACCTCCCCCAGGCCCCACACTACCAGGACCCCGCTCCCAGGTGTGGTATACCCTCTAGTTTACCTCCCCAGGCCCCACACTACCAGGACCCCGCTCCCAGGTGTGGTATACCCCCTAGTTTACCTCCCCCAGGCCCCACACTACCAGGACCCCGCTCCCAGGTGTGGTATACCCTCTAGTTTACCTCCCCTGGCCCCACACTACCAGGACCCCGCTCCCAGGTGTGGTATACCCTCTAGTTTACCTCCCCCAGGCCCCACACTACCAGGACCCCGCTCCCAGGTGTGGTATACCCTCTAGTTTACCTCCCCCAGGCCCCACACTACCAGGACCCCGCTCCCAGGTGTGGTATACCCCCTAGTTTACCTCCCCCAGGCCCCACACTACCAGGACCCCGCTCCCAGGTGTGGTATACCCTCTAGTTTACCTCCCCCAGGCCCCACACTACCAGGACCCCGCTCCCAGGTGTGGTATACCCTCTAGTTTACCTCCCCCAGGCCCCACACTACCAGGAGCCCGCTCCCAGGTGTGGTATACCCTCTAGTTTACCTCCCCCAGGCCCCACACTACCAGGACCCCGCTCCCAGGTGTGGTATACCCTCTAGTTTACCTCTCCCAGGCCCCACACTACCAGGACCCCGCTTCCAGGTGTGTTATACCCTCTAGTTTACCTCCCCAGGCCCCACACTACCAGGACCCCGCTCCCAGGTGTGGTATACCCTCTAGTTTACCTCCCCCAGGCCCCACACTACCAGGACCCCGCTCCCAGGTGTGGTATACCCTCTAGTTTACATCCCCTAGGCCCCACACTACCAGGACCCCGCTCCCAGGTGTGGTATACCCTCTAGTTTACCTCCCCCTGGCCCGTCACTACCAGGACCCCGCTCCCAGGTGTGGTATACCCTCTAGTTTACCTCCTCCTGGCCCCACACTACCAGGACCCCGCTCCCAGGTGTGGTATACCCTCTAGTTTACCTCCCCTAGGCCCCACACTACCAGGACCCCGCTCCCAGGTGTGGTATACCCACTATGAAAGAAAGAATGAACAATTAACAAAAGTACTTACTGTTGTCATTCATACTAAGATTGTTATTGGTTGATATCGCTTGTAATAAAGACTTTCGATGGCCTCTCATTCATTGTATCATGAGTGGTGTTGGTGCTGACTCAAGTCTCTCTCCACAGAGGAAGCCGAGGTGGGATTTCTTCGCCGAAGGATTGCCAACGATGAGAGCAGTGGAGGGCCGAGCGGTCCAGGCCTGGAGCCGCAAGTGGACACCCTCATCCACCACACTGCTCCTCCACACCCCACACCACCTCCTCCACACCCAACACCTCCTCCACATACTCCTGTCCACCTCTCCAAGAAGGAGAGAGAAGACCTAGCCAAACAGGGCGTCCTGCTTCTAGAAGATGACCATGATGGTCCAGCTGAACATTTACAGGCTGATAAACAAGACAAAACAAATGAACGACAACAACAGCATCACCAGACACAATCATATCAAAATAAAAATAAACATCTAGAGTCACAACAACAAAATAATTATCCTGTGCCACGCGTAAAACAAGAACAGACAAACGAGAAACATTTACAAAAACAGGAAGGTAGCCAACACGACCAATGGTTACACCAAATTGAGTTACAGCACAAAGACTTTCTGAAACAACAACACAGATTACAGGAACACCATCTCAAACAGGCACAGATATTGCAAGAGAAGTTGCAGCAGGAGCAGGAGACAGGGCGGCCAGAGGACACCACTGACACACACCACACGGGCCTCGACCCGCAGTCCCACAACACCAGTGGTACCGGCCTGGCCAAGATGTCACAGGCAAACCTAAATGTGCCTCTTACTAAGATTGACCCCAACAAGAACACAGTTCCCCCCATGCCTCACATATCGTACGCCAACCTTAAGAAACAGGGAGAGAACGTTCTACGCCACTTTATAAGAAGAGAATTTATGAATGTTAAAAGAGACACCAACTTCATTCCCGGAGAGTTGGTGGAGCCTTCTCAGGTACGAAGGGTAATTATTGTATCCACCTGGCGGAGTGGGTCCTCTTACCTGGGTGACCTCGTCAAGGCCTACCCTGGAACTTTCTTCAGCTTTGAGCCTCTACATCACCTGCTGAAGAATCTTCACTTGCAGGAAGGTCCATTAGTTGAAGAAGTGGTGCGACTTCTCAGATCAATCCTAACGTGTGACTTTAGTCAACTAGACGTTTATATTAACTACATGCGCAATAATACTTTCCTTATAGACCGCAATACTCGTCTCTGGAAATCTTGTGCTTTTAACCGAGCACTCTGCTTTGACAAGGACTATTTATCGAGAGCTTGCAGATATATGCCACTCAACATGCTGAAGACTGTACGGATGGGTCTGTTGCCGGTGGTGGAGCTGCTGCAGGACCCCAGCCTCGACCTGCGGGTCGTCCACCTGGTTCGAGACCCGCGTGGTTGTCTACACTCACGCATGCAGCTGTCTTGGTGCCAGTCTCAGGCCTGCAGTGACCCGGAAACTGTCTGTAATGATCTCTTAACAGATCTTAAACTCTCAGACCGGGTGAAGCAAAACTTTCCAGACAGGTAAAATACATTTTGTTTACTGCTTGTCATCACAAATGGGATATATATGGGTCCATTATAGTGACTGTCTTTGTAATGTTTTTGTTCTCTCACCCTCTCCTTCCCTCTCTCTTCTTCTCTACCCCTTCCACTCTCTCATCCTCTCTACCCCTTTCTATTTCCCTCTCGCCTCCCCTCTCTTCCTGTCTATTCCCCTCCCCTCCCCTCTTCCTCTCTCTTTCCCTCCCCCTCTTTTCGTCACGCTCTCCCTCCCCTTTCTCCGTTCCCTCTCTCTTCCCCTTCTCTCGTTTTTTTTTCCCTATCCACCCTATCTTCCCCTCTATCTCCCCCGTCTCCACGTTTCTCCCCTCTCATCCCTCTCCTTCCCTTTTCCCCACTCTCTCTCTTGGAAAATTAAATATTTCAAAGCATTGAAAAACTGCTTAGCTACTTAGTGGAAAACGTACCTGCTATTTTATTTCAGGCTTCATGGAAAGTGGAGGTTGTCGCCATAAAGATATGTTTTACCGGATAACTCTGAAGCCTATGGCACTTCCCTACCCCGTGTGTCATGTTGGAAAGTTGGATGAGGCTCCAAGTGTCAGACCTCGTACTTTTGGACAGACAGATAGATAATTAATGTACATTATTCATTTCAGCTTAATTATCTTTAATTTATCTGGACACTCGTGCCTTCCTTGCAGTGATGGCCTCACGTGGAATCTTCTCCTCACACACATTTAAATTGTCTCTAATTGAATAACACGTTCATAGGAACATTTAAGAAAACAGCAGTATTCAAATATTTCCATCTGCTGATGAAGGTAGAACATCATTGGTCACCATGTTTAACAGAAACAGAAGGATGTAATTACCGTTGTCGGGGACTGGATGCCTGTAATTAGGCTTACATTGACGTCCCAGGTCAAACTACTTCCCTGGAAGCAATCCACAGCAGTGGTCAAACTCCCGGAAACTTAGTTAGACTTTATTAAAGCATAGATAATAAATTTATTATTTATTAAAGTATACATAGACTTTATTAAAGCTTTAGATAAGGTACACCACATCAGTGGTACACTGATGTGGTGTCACTTCACTCCTTACATTTACAAAGACAAATTTACAATGCTTTAGCAAGAGCTTATATTCTCCTGGGGTGAGGTGGTACAGGACGTGATTGAGAAGAACAAGTGGATGAAACATACTAGATATTAATAGGCTATTATTAATAGCCTGTGTTCTAGCATCTACTGTCTCTGTGCTGGTTCAGTGTCTTGAAGACTGGCCAGTAAAGTACAAGCATGGGGAATAAATGGTAGAATACTGGAATGGATAAAACAAAGAAAGCAAAGGATTATACTAAACAGAAATGAATCGGACTAAAAATGTGGTGAGTGGGGTGCCACAAGGTTCCATTTTGGGGCCAACCTTTTTTGTCATATACATCAATGACACAGATGAGAATATTGTATTACAAACTACATTATCAAATTTGCAGATTATACTAAGATGTATGGTAAAGTGGGACGTGACTGATACTGAAGTCTTAAGAAGAGATCTATATGAACTCCCCAAGTGGTTAGAAGATTGGCAAATGCTATTTAATATCGAATAATGCAAGACCTTGCAATTTGGGGCATAACAACCCACGCCACAATTACCAAATCAACAACATTACCTTGCAGTTCATTGATGAAGAAAAAGGCCTTTGAGTCAGACTCCACCAATCTCTGAAAGATGTACAATAAGTGGGAGCTGCAGTAAAAAGAAGCAAATCAAATTCTATGAATAGTCAAATGAAACTTTGACTTCAAGATGGTAGTTATTCAACTGTATAACATAACATCCTATCTCTGGTGCAATAATTCACTTAGATTATTGTATCCAAGCATGGAGACCTCACCTTCAGAAAGAAATCTGCTTTGGGGAAAAAGGAACATCAGGCAATAAAAATGATTCCAGAGCTAAGTCAACTCCCTGGTTGAGGGCCACAGTAGCCTCATACTGATCCTGTAGTAGTTCACTTATTTCCTTGTCATCCTCTGTGTATGAACCTTCACTTGTATAGGTCAGTACTGGTGGAGTTTTTTTTTATTTTTATTTTGTGTATGTGAAGAAATATTTTGGATTTTTCTTTATTTCTTTTTATGGCTTTCTGTTCCAATTTAATTTCTTGTCAGGTATGATTGCTTCAACTTCAGCTCTATTGTTTTTCAATCTTTGCATAAATAATTTTTTCTGTACTGTATAGTGATACTTGAAATTGAAAATGAAATTGAAATAAGTTTATTGAGGTATAAACACACACAAAAGGATGAGGTAGTTTAGTTGAGATTAATTAATTAATTAATTAATTAATGTAATTGAGATCAAGACATAAATTTAATTGAAAAAGGGAAAAAACAGAAAAAAGAATGACAATAATTACATGATGGATGGAACAGCAGAAATTGCAACAGAACAGCATTAGTAATTTTAACTACCAGTAAATAAGCAGAAGACTACAATTTTTTCAAGTTTATACATGGCGGATATCAGCCGTTATACAAGTTGGTCAATAATCAATATTGTTTGAAAATAGCATAACATGGGTTGACATTTAGGGGTTAAGATAGGTTACATGGAGTTTATTAGGTACAGTACTTAGTTTTTCTCTTAAACTGGACGAGACTTGGCAGGCTTTAACGTGATTGGGAAGTTCATTCCACACTCTGTGTCACCTCGAGGTAGTTCTAATACTGTATAACTGCCATCTTTATTACCCTAAGGTAGTTTTAGCATGATTGCTATCTTGATTACCCAAGGTACTTCTAACATGACTGCCATCTTGATTACCCAAGGTACTTCTAACATGACTCCCATTGTATTACCCCATAGGAGTCCAGTGATGGCCACCATCTTTACCAGGTCCTCTGTTACCTGTATAACATATTGCCTAGCTGGAGGCCTATTTATTATTTATTTAGTGACTAGACACCTGAGTTATTCTCTGTGATGCACTTACCTTTCACTGAATTCTAAAATTCAGAAACTTAACAGTGACAGAAGAGATTTTAGGCTTACTGATTTTCTGTTTGATAATTTAGTAATGCATTTGTTACCATTTTATCTAAAAAATTAGTACCAATGTGTCATAATATAATTTTTTATCATTATAATGACCTTGTTGCTTAAATAAATGGAGTATTTATTTGTCTACTTAAATAACTATGGAGTAACATCATTACTATACTTCCATGTACAATTCTAAATCTGTATTGCTTTTACAGATACTTAATGGTTCGTTACGAAGACATGGGTCTCAAGCCTGAGCAGAAGGCACAAGAGATCATCAAGTTCCTTGGCCTCTCATATAACAAATACATTCATGTCTTTGTTAGAGAGCACACAACCCCTTCCAGAAGAACTAAAAAGAAGGGTGATGCCTATAGCACTTTTCGAGACTCCAAAGCAACCACGTTTGCTTGGAGAGGGGCACTCAACTACACTGTAGTGGAAGCTATACAGGAGGTCTGCAAGGAGCCTCTCCAAAAGCTCCAATTAAGAATATTCCAGACTGAGGAAGAATATCAGAATACAACAATTTCAGTGCTACTCAATTCCTAATAGGGACTGTAATTTATAAGAGTTTAAAAAAACAATGTTTTAAATAAAAATAGAATGCAAAAAATTTATTTTATATAATGTACAAATTCACCTAGAGAATATTTCACTTTCCATGTGTGCCTCCGAGAGGTATATTGAACCATTTGATTATTATGCCATTATTCCTCGTCAATTTATATGCATATCCTTCCTGTATGAAGCCACTCAGTGCTCTTCGGTCATAGTCGTCTCTGATAACAAGGAATAGAGTGCATGAAAGACTTCAGAAGACTGTTATGATTGGGAAAAACACTTGAAAGGTGCCATTGCAAGATTGCATTCAAGACACAGCATTTTAGTAAGTAAAGAATATATTTTTTTTAAATTATATATTATTTATTATTTGATTTTATCTTTATTTATTTTCATTATGATGATAGATTTATTGATGCAAATAATTCAAGATACAGTATATATATATATATATATATATATATATATATAACTGAAAACTCACACCCCAGAAGTGACTCGAACCCATACTCCCACAACTGGTATGTACAGGGACGCCTTAATCCGCTTGACCATCACGACCGGACATAAGGCGTCCCTGTACATACCAGTTGTGGGAGTATGGGTTCGAGTCACTTCTGGGGTGTGAGTTTTCAGTTGTATATAGTCCTGGGGACCATTCAGGCTTGTTTGCATATATATATATATATATATATATATATATATATATATATATATATATATATATATATATATATATATATATATATATATATATATATATGTATATATATGTCGTACCTAGTAGCCAGAACGCATTTCTCAGCCTACTATGCAAGGCCCGATTTGCCTAATAAGCCAAGTTTTCATGAATTAATTGTTTTTTCGACTACCTAACCTAACCTAACCTAACGTTTTCGGCTACCTAACCTAACCTAACCTATAAAGATATGTTAGGTTAGGTTAGGTAGGGTTGGTTAGGTTCGGACATATATCTACGCTAATTTTAACTCCAATAAAAACAAATTGACCTTATACATAATGAAATGGGTAGCTTTATCACGACATAAGAAAAAAATTAGAGAAAATATATTAATTCAGGAAAAATTGGCTTATTAGGCAAATCGGGCCTTGCATAGTAGGCTGAGAAGTGCGTTCTGGCTACTAGGTACGATATATATATATATATATATATATATATATATATATATATATATATATATATATATATATATATATATATATATATATATATATATATATATATATATATATATATATATATATATATATATATATATATATATATATATATATATATATATTTATATATATTTAACTGGTGTGATCTCGCCAAAAGATATCCATTATTTTTACCATGCAATGTTTATAATGTACCTTATGTCTAGTGACAATATAGGAGGAAACTTAACTGAGAAACATTACATGTTACTCATTACAGTCTTTTGATACCTAAAAAGACTATGTAGCAGTATAATACAGTGTTGAAATAAATTACAAAGAAAGATTTAAAGTGTAGAGTGGAATTGGGTGATGTAGTCAACATACATTATGCGTAGCTTTAAAATATCTTTGTTTCAGTTCCTGTAGGTCTTTTAAGAAATGCTTTCCTAAACCTGAAATTTGTATAAGTTTAGTACTGTAAAGTGAAAGTTGGAGTTGTCATTGTTGAGGCTGTGTTGCATCTACCATGGTGCTAAACTGAATATGGGCAATTACTCTCCCGCTGCAGTCAGTTACAGCACACTTACAAAAAGAGCGAATTTAAAGAGAAATATTGTACCTGTTTACTAACAAGATTTTAAGCTTTTGTAAATGAACACTTTTTTATAGTTAATGGACAGTTTGTAAGTCCAGTATGACATCAGTCAGTGATCATTCCATGATTTGGAGGCATTTTGTATGAAGTGTGAACATATGTATAGTACTATTAACATGTGTAATTTAGGATGGGCTTGGATGCAAATGATATATATTTGATAGAACTACTCTATATATTTCATTCTTAAACTGTATCAGGATGTAAATCTTCGATGAATGTCTCATTAAAAACTCTTGTAGTATGAAGAGATGCTGATCACTAGTACCAGTGATACAAACAAATGTTGTAACCATATTAACATTAGAGTTATGAAATTTACATTTTGAATCCTGTAATTATTATAAACATTTCAAAGATATCTTGTTTTTTCTTTAAGTGAATAGTCATTACCATACTGTATATGGTTTTGAAGTATGTGCGAGTGAAATATTTCTGTATTTCATACATCAATGAAGAAGTATAATGTAGTCATTACCATACTGTATATGGTTTTGAAGTATGTGCGAGTGAAATATTTCTGTATTTCATACATCAATGAAGAAGTATAATGTAGTCATTACCATACTGTATATGGTTTTGAAGTATGTGCGAGTGAAATATTTCTGTATTTAATACATCAATGAAGAAGTATAATGTAGTCATTACCATACTGTATATGGTTTTGAAGTATGTGCGAGTGAAATATTTCTGTATTTAATACATCAATGAAGAAGTATAATGTAGTCATTACCATACTGTATATGGTTTTGAAGTATGTGCGAGTGAAATATTTCTGTATTTAATACATCAATGAAGAAGTATAATGAATAAATAAAATTGCTTGCCATAACTCATACTGTACTTGGGAAGCTCTTACAGCAAGTAACTTTTACATTGCAGTTTACAGCACCTAATGTGTTTTGTTTTATACAATATTTTTCTTAGGTTCCATGTGCAGGAAGTTTTGGTAATTGTTTTATCTGCCACCAAGAGAGAAGAGTACTTGAGTAGGCATCACCCATCATCGGGAACTCGAGGCACAGAGTGAAGAGTACTTGAGTAGGCATCACCCATCATCGGGAACTCGAGGCACAGAGTGAAGAGTACTTGAATAGGCAACACCTACCATCGGGAACTCGAGGCACAGAGTGAAGAGTACTTGAATAGGCATCACCCATCATTGGGAACTCGAGGCACAGAGTGAAGAGTACTTGAATAGGCAACACCCACCATTGGGAACTCGAGGCACAGAGTGAAGAGTATTTGAGTAGGCAACACCTACCATCAGGAACTCGAGGCACAGAGTGAAGAGTACTTGAATAGGCAACACCCACCATTGGGAACTCAAGGCACAGAGTGAAGAGTACATGAGTAGGCAACACCTACCATCAGGAACTCGAGGCACAGAGTGAAGAGTACATGAGTAGGCAACACCTACCATGGGGAACCCAAGACACAGAGTGAAGAGTACATGAGTAGGTAACATCCACCAGTGGGAACTAAAAAGCACATAAATAACATCTAGGGGACTCACTAAACCAGCAATTCTTCCTTTTATAAAAGTTTTGAATTTAAATTCACAAATAAAGTGTTATGAACACTGTAATGCTCTACAAATCTCTTTTTTAGTTAATCAGAAATTGATTGCAACATATTCTAACATGAATGATAACTTACGTTTTTTTTAGTGTTTGTTCTGTATAGAATTATGCATGTCACATGTATATTACATTTACATATGAATACATATCTCCAAAAGCTTCCATGCATTCAATTTCAATGGGATCACAATACTCAGTATTTTCTGCAATTGTTTAATAATCTGCATATGTTAAATAACTGTTATTCATTAGACTTGCATGTAAAAGCCACTGTTAATTGTGCAGCATTTCAATGAGTGTGGAACTGTAGTCTATCATTACAAGTACTGTATCAATGCAAGTATTGTAATTATTACAAGTACTGTATCATGAGTACTGTATTATTACAAGTACAATACTGTATCATTACAAGTACTGTACAGTACTGTATCATTACAAGTACGGTACAGTACTGCATCATTACAAGTACTGTACAGTACTATATCATTACAAGTACTGTACAGTACTGTATCATTACAAGTACTGTACAGTACTGTATCATTACAAGTGCAGTACTCTATCATTACAAGAACTGTACCATTACAAATGCTGTGATTATGAGCACTGCAATATTACAAATACTGAATCATTACAAGTACAGTACAGTAACTATAATTACATGTACAATTACTGTATCACTACAAGGTAAGGTACAGTAATTATCAAGAGAAATCAACAAGCCATTATGACTATATAGCACTTGGAAAGGATAAGACAGAGGGAAGAAATGGTGCCCAACCACTTAGATGGTCGGGGGATTGAATACCAATGTGCAATAAGTTTGACTGTCACCCTACCATCCGGTCCAAGAAGTTGGGCAGAAATACTTGTACTGTACTTGTAATGATACAATACTTGCACCATTACAAGTAATGGTAGCAACAGCAGCAGAGGATAACCGGTCATCATGGTGTTAGGAAAGGTTAGAATGCTGAAGTAATGGTTACAGCAGCAGCAGAGGATAACCAGTCATCATGGTGTTAGGAAAGATTAGAATGCTGAAGTAATGGTAGCAACAGCAGCAGAGGACAACCAGTCGGTTTGGTCTTAGGAAAAGGATTTAAGTGGTGATCAATAAACTTTTAGTTACTGTATATACAGAATTATACATGTAGGAAAGGGTCCATCTTAATTGTCCAAAGCTACCCAAAGCTTCCTAGAATTACGTAAGTAATGAAGAACTATGATATATTTACTCAGTATAATGTAGAACTTCCTAGAATTTCATTAGTAATAAACAACTATGATACAGTATATTTACTCAGTATAATGTTGGTGCTGAATGTAGAACATGAAAAAACATAATTTTACTCAGAAATAATATAATTTTATAACAAAATTGGGCCCACGTAATTACCCAAAGTCGCAACATTGTCACCTGGATCGTAGACTTCTTGTAGTGTCAGCTGCCACTTAGTTTCTTCTAATTTCATCATAAAATTATATTTTTTCAGAGTAAAAATATGTTTTTTAATGTTCTTCATTCAGCACCCTAATTATAGTGAGTAAATATATCATATTTCTTCATTACTTACTTAATGCTAGGAAGCTTTGTGAAGCTGTGAGTAGTTTTGGGTAATTAGACGGTTAATTAAACAGTTGATGAACTGATGGTTAAAAAATTTATACAAATGATGAATCTGTTTACATTTCAGCTCCTCCTATAAGTTGTGTATAATCCACTGTATTCAGTACAGTAGTTCAATATAAGAGGAAACTAAATATCCAGAAATAGTCACTTCTGACCAACATTCTTTAATTGTTACTGTTGCCTTTACTGGCACCAAAGTACAGCAGCAGGCTTTGAAGAATACCAATATTTTTAGAAACCCCGTAGACTAATAATATAAAATGCACAGTGCTTCATGCTGAACAGTTGTGCAGTCAGATATCTGCCATGCACAGTGCTTTGTGTTAAACAGATGTAATTACATAAGTGTAATTACCTAAGTGTAGTTACAGGATGAGAGCTACGCTCGTGGTGTCCCGTCTTCCCAGCACT